GAGCAATCGGTGTCGTGTTTGTTCTACTTCATCTGATTTTGGTCATGTTGGTGCTCGCTCTCTGCTCGCCTGTTCAGCATGTTCACGTAGCAAGCTCGGAACCTCATTGCCATGCCTGCCTTGTGCGAGTGTGTGAGTCGAAACCCTCAACCCATTTGTGACTCTCTGGTCCTGCAGGCGAGCAGAGGCCCGGACGAGTGCCAACCGAGATTTCAACGCAGACGAAGCCATGGCAGTCCAGGAGAAGGTCTGCCGGACACCTCCGAGTTTGCCCATTGGCCCTGTGTCTGTGGCAGGTCTCTGGATTGAGTGAACAGCTGTCTAGACTTCAGGCTCCGTAGACGCCGAAGATTTCGATTCCCGAGTCCGATCAGTCAGAGGCGTCCTTCGCCAGCAAGCAGCGGCAGCGAGTTCGGCTGGAGCTCACGCAGCAGCCACCTGGACGAAGCCCAGAAACCTGCTCTGGTAGACAAGCCGTAAGCCAAGGACAGTCACTTCCACGCCGGAGGATACCAACCTTTACCGTGGGGTGGGCCGCTGCTTCCTGCTGGGTGACCGGCAGCCAATTCTAGAGCCGTTGCTTGAAAGACGTTCCCTTGTGTGTGCAGGGCATGTGTGCAGGTGTAGACATAGGCTCGGAGTCTTCTTTTCGGCAGCGGGGTCGGCATCAGCCTGGCGTCATCACCTGTGCTAGCGAAGCTTGCATTGGGTTCATGGTCGCATGTCTTTGTCGGATTGTTTGCGAAACTGGCACGTAACTGCATAGACGGATAGGTATACAGCCTACACCGAGATGTGGTGAAGGAATAGCTGTGGCTAGTGGATGAAAACAGTGCATAGCCGAAGCCTGGAGTTCTTCGAGAACGATGCCAAGGACGAGATGAAGCAGACAATGGACAGCATAGATGAGGACCTGGGCAACAATTCCCGAAGCCTGAAGCATGTGAAGTGCAAAGTCTGGAAGACTCTGGGTGGGAGGAGCTGCCAAAGATGCAGAAGGCCAGTCAGGAGTTGGAGAAGCGCAAAGACGACGCCGAGAAGGCATGCGGGGCCCACGGTTGCAGGACATGAGCCTTTGGAGTATCCAAGCTTCGAAGGAGCTGCGCGAGATGATTGCCGCGTTCCAGAAGCAGGCCCTGCGACGCTGCGGTTTCTAAGCGTACAGCAGCTGGCCCACGCTGCCTCAACTCCTTCCATGCAGAGTCTTAGAGGCAGAACGTTCTGCCGCTACAGCCGCATGACAGATGCAGGCAAGGAGAGGTTTTGCTGTCTTCCCTCAGTGTTGAAGCCTATGCGTACCGACAAGTCGAGCCTCGGCGTAGTTTCAGGATCGAGCCTCGAGCTGAGGGCACCCGCGTGATGCAAAGAGGAAAGTTGAAGCCAAGAACACAATCTACTATGTCATATTGCATTCTCTCCTATTGAGTGTTCTTAATATTCCGTTATATTGTAAGATGTAAATAGTATACTGTATTATGGGCAACTACAGCGCTTTATGAGGAAGGCTTGATGCTGTGGAGTTCTTCCACTTTCCTTCCTCAGCTCAAGCTGCCGCGACCAGCGACAAGGCCTGCTGACGAGCGGAAAAAGGGTGCGTGAGCAAATGGTTTGCTTCTGCTCCCTAAGCTTCAAGTCTAAACCTTAAAAGAGGAACCGAGAGACACCTCGTCAGGCGTCCGAGTTGCGTAAACGTAAACCAACCAATTCCGTGAGATGGCAAGTTGCAGGACGGCATGCTGGAGAAGGCAGAATTGAAGAAGTGCCCCAGAGAGGCATGAGTACATTGAGTGGGCAGAAGACGGGCCTTCATCCAGCAAATCGTGAGGCAGTTTAGTTGCTGCCACGCACCGTGCTACGGCTCAAACCCAGGCCTTAAACTTCAAAGGGGTGACAGCTGCCGGGACCTTCTCGGCCTGTCCAAAGACCTTATGGCAGGCGTGATTCCATGAAAGCTCCGCATGTCTTGTCGTGTGTGCGTGAAGGGGCGGTGGCTCTTTTTCACACTTGAAACAATGAAACGAGGCATGAGTCGCTCGAGGCAGGACCAGGCTAAACTGAAGCAGAATCTCAGATCCCGGCAGCCAGACCGTTGGGTGAATCTTGTTGGTGGGAAATCAACTCACCCCGGCTGCTGGGATTTGTTGAAAATGAGCTCTTCAGAGCTAAACCATGGGGCAGAATGACGGGTCTTGTGTTGCCCCACATGGTGAGACCATGTGGATGTAGTGGCAGAGAGAGACAGTGCTGGCTACTAATGGAGGTGCATCTATTGAGTCTTGCATGACTTCATGGATGCATAGCTCTTGTACCGATAGTTTAAGCCCAAGTCAGCCCAGAAGTTGGCATACCTCGGCTGCACAGTCGAACTATCTCGCAATACAGGTACGCACAGGTGGAGCTCAAGTGCACCTTAGCAGCCGCCTCGGCGGGGAACCCGGGGCGAAGCCGCTGCTGCTCGCGCTTTTGGCACACTGGCGTGTGAAGGTGGACGGGATGTTCCGGTTGCAGACTCAGAAAAGCCGATCATGGGTCGGCTTGTTGTGTCGCCTTTGATTCTGCATCTGCGAACCATTGAGGTTGCTCACCGCTGAGGGCGCCAAGGGCGTCCGCACCGAGGATTTCCAGCGAGCCAAGGCCAGCCACACCCTTTCTCCTTTGCTTTCAACTTTCTTTTCTCTCTATCACTGCAACGCTCTGTCTCTATGCCCCCATGCCGCTCTAACTTTGTAATCAGTGCATGTGAATAGCCGTTGCTTCGTGAAGTTGGGTCAGCCACCCCCTGCTTCGCTACTGTAGTCATGTCAGTGGAGAAACTGTTCACTGCTGATGAAGCACATGACCAGGGACCGTACTACAAGTACTACCAAATGTGACCCTACAGCCTTGTCTTCGTCGCTCTGATTTCTGGACGCCCCAGGCGGCAAACAGGCATCCGTCTTCCAACGGCTGTTGCAAACGGTCGAGTATCTCGACAATGCTTCGTTTCCGTATGGGTGCCCGCCTGATTTCCGGGCAAGAGCAGCGTAAATCTACACCTGACCACAGAGGGAGCCAAGCAATCGCAAATCAGACCTTTGAAACCTCTCCAGGATCCTCCTATATAAGTTGTGGGAGTGTTGTCCATCAATAGCGGGTGATGATGACAACATCTTATGCTCTTCACGCGCCATCATGTCTGCCTCCGGCACGCCGGGAGGTTCAGGTCGGCATCGTGCGTGAGAAGAAGATCGATCTGGAGCGGAAGAAGCGCCGCGAAGAGCGTGAGAAGGAGTTGGAGAAACTGAAAGCCTGGGCCCCGGGCCTCGCTTCCCTTCGGCTGCATTGTTTCAAGTCTCTCGTTTGAGGACAAGCTCAAGGGGCGAATTGAGGTGGCAGCCTCTTGTTGTGAGTTGGTGTCTTCGTGGCTCGAGCGGATAAGAGCACAGGAGATCACAAAGGCGATTGACGAGATTGAGTTGTCTTGCACGGAGCTCAAGGTGTCTCCCTGCCGAGGGGATTTGAGCCACCTGCTGCTTCTGAATTTCTGATTGCATTGAATGCAGCACTGCAGCGCAAGCACTCGGCATGTCGAACTTGAACTTCAGCTGTGAATTCGTTATCATGCCGCCGCCGCTCTGCATTTTCTAGCTGGCTTCGGCACCATGGCAGCGCAAGCTCAGAACAGAAGCAACTCAGCATCATGGGCCAACACTGTTTCACGTGCGAGGCAATCCAGCCGCAGACCATACACTCAAGGATCTCGGATACGGAAACAGGAGATACAGGAGTAGTTCGGTTTCGCGCAATGCGTCCGGGCCGTGCAGAGCCTTTCACGCCGCCAGTGAGGAGCAAGGCATCTCAAGCTCCACCGGCCGCCGCGCGAGTACAACCTGCAAAGCCAAATCTGGCGGAAGCGCAGGCAAAGCCGACCGCAGCGCCGAAGGCTCAGCCGAACGCCCCCGCCGCCACAGCAAAGACATCTGGGCCAGGGCCGGCAGGGCCGCCAGGGCCGCCAGGGCCGGAGACTTCAAAGGCGTCAAAGGCATCAAAGCCTCACGGGCAGCTGGGCAGTGAGATGCCATCTCAGCGAGCCTCTCTCCAGTGGGAGCGGCGGTGGGCATCCTGGCGAAAAAAGGCAGTTGAAGTTGGCGCCTGCATTTGGGCTGACATAAAGGTTGAGGGTGAAGCTTCGGTCTCCAAGCTGAAAAGGGAGGTGACCACGAAGCTGACCGAAGCTTTGGGCGCTGAAGCAGTGGTGTCCATCCTGGCGGAGGACTTCGACAGTACCCAGCGGCTGTTCGTTTGCCTCCTTGCCAAGGCGGAAGAGTGCACTGAGCTGCGCCGCACATGGAAAAGCCTGAAGCTTTTGGATGATGTGACGGTGAGCTGGCGGGATACCCTCGACACTGCCTCTCACAACCATGTCCCTTACCTCAGAGAGAGCTGGAATCCCAAGAAGCTTCCAGTCGATTCTGTCAGCCTTACATTACCGGCGCACTGGGCCTTTGAGAAAGGGAAGCTGCCAAGCAAACCACCTGTTACTTGTGCCGCTGGCAGTCACTGGCACGACTTTGCGCAAGTCTTTGGCGAGGTCATGGAGGCTAGCTTTGCATGGCATGGGGAGGCCTCTGAGACAGTGCAGCTGGTGGTGCGCTATGCCAAAGGTGGGCCAAAGTCTGCTTACTTGAAGCTCACCGGGCGCTGCTTGAACAATCCCCTGTCAGGAAAGCCCGGCAAGAGGGATCTATCCTTGGTGCGTGCAGTCTACGGAACTTACGGAAACCTACTCAAGCGTGTCACAGAGCAGGAGGGCAAAAAGTCAAAATTTTGGCTTGATGGCATCACATCAGATCTGCCACCTCGGCCAGACAACGCATCCGCTGGCCCGATCTTCGAGTTGTTCCCACTCCAGTCCTTCTCTGCTGCTGCTGTCGCAAAGCGACGCCTTCTCCTGGCACCTTGGGGAGCTTCCCACTTTGTGCTTGGGAGTTCGATGCAGTGCGACCTTCATATCTTCCATGATGGTATATCAAAGGAGCACGCGGAGCTCTTTTTGATGGTTCCATGGAAGCAGCACGCCGCGGCACATCTCTCCGTGTTCGTCACAGACAAGTCCAAAAATGGCACATATGTCAACGGGCAGCGCATAGCCAAAGATGCCGTCCTGCAGCTCCGCGAGGGGGATATCCTGCGCCTGGCAGATGTACCTACTTATGCTACCGGGCTCGACTGTGCGTGTTTTTTGAGACATTAATGGCCATGCCCTCGGGGTGGTACTCCGACACTCAAACAGTTTGCATTGAACGGTGCTGACATAGATGTGAGCGAGTTGCCCGGACTTGCGTAGGAGCTTGTTTATCCTGTGTTGCCATGAATGACACCAACTAGAGGCATGTAGGGCGGGACGGCAGGGTGCCGTCTAACATTTGCGGTATATGCACTGTGCGAAATTGTGTTGTTCCCACAAGAGTTCGCAGACATCGTGCAGCAGTTGATGTATAGTTAGAGCCCCGCAGGCTCTGTGCCAAACAGGACAAGCTGCTGATTGCAGAGCTTAGGTTCTGCGCCGGTTTCCCTCTATCGAGGCTGCCAAGAATGCACCGCCACCTTCCAACTGGCATTCGGATGCCACGGAGCTCGAGGTGTTGCCTGGCTGCACTCGACACTGGTAATTCGGATTCAAGAAGGGAAGAACTTTGCTGCATGCTGGGCCATGCTTGGGAAATGGGGAAGTGGCCTTGTGTAACGGAAGGGGTGGTGCCTTCTTCCAGCCAAGGCCTGCGTGCCCCTCGTTCATCAGGGACATCAAGAGGAAAGCCAAGAAGGAAGCGAAAGACAGGGAGGAACTCTGGGACGAGGCCTTCCGATGTAGACTAAGCTGGAAGGGCTTAGCTCCATGCGTGTCAGGTGCCTCAACTTCCCCCACCAGAGGCTGCTTGGCTGAAGTAAGGAAACTCCGCGGCTCATAGAAGGCTCCTGTGTCTCTACATCAACGTACTGTAATGCTTAATCGAAGAGCCTGTGCTAACAACCGCCATCTCCAAGGCATGCTCAGGGAAAACGTGTACTCTGGTCTCCTATTCAAGTTGCATGTCGTGACTGGTTTGCTTGCTTGCATATGCCGTGACCAGTGCGGCCTCAGGACGGAACTCCAGAAGGCAAACGCCGGAAGCGTCACAAAGAGTAAAAACGAGATGACTCGCTTGCATGGTCGCAGTTCTGTTGGCTTGCGTAGTCCCTGCAAGTCGAAGTCCTGCGTCGCCCCACGCAGGAGGCTGCCGAAGCATTGAAAGCAACAGACCAGAAACCTAGCGAGCTGATGCTTGGCTTTCAAGCGACAGGAGTTGCACATGCAAGGTCTTTGCACCATCTTCTTGCCCTTTCGTTGAAGGCTGTACTTGCAGTACCGCTGGCCTTGCCCAGGATCGCAAAGCTCGATTCGATAGAAGCCACGCCGGCCACCCATGGCTGCAAAGAGAGAGCCTTCAAAGCGAGCCAAACCACAGGTCGGAGGAGGCCAACCAGAAGATCGCAAGCTCCAGAAAAGCAATGTTGGATGCGAAGGACCCACGAGGTTTTGCTTGCTGTGCGCTCAGTGACCTTGCTCTATGCTTGACTGCTTGACACAAATCTTCCACAGGAAGAAGCCGACGCAGAGGTCGTGCATTGGCTGGAGGAGGTCTTCAGGCCAATGCAGCTCGGCAGCGGAAACGAACACCGGATGTCAGGAAAAGGGGGCACATGATGCGTGCACGTCTGTGGTACAAGCAAGGTATTCGAAGCTGAAGACAGCAGAACGAGCCACGGCGCAGAGCAGCCGGTGCCCCGGTGTCCCTGTTTCAGAAGCCGCAATGCCTTCAATGCCTTCTGCCCACCGTCCCCACCTTGGCAGAGCGACCTCACCGAGGCCAATTCACGAAGCGGCAGCGCATGACAGCGGACCAGCGCAACCGTGAGGAGTTGGAGAAGCTCGCCAGGCCTGTCGGGGAAAGGGCCAGGAAAGGCGAGGCTGACGCGCGACGACATCGCACCCATGCAGTTCTGCAGAGATCCATACATGGTTCGACCTAGTTCGACAACTTTGCTGCTGCAGGAGAGCCCTTGCCATTATCAGACAGTTCCAGAAAGCCAGTAGCCCAGCACGCGGCGAAGGTTCATCCAGTGAACCCGAACTTGCTTTCAGCGAGCTCGACTGGGGTGGGGCTTGGGGCAGGGCTGGATGAGCTTTGCATAATGAGTAGAGGCATACGTGAAGCCGGGCTCGTCTGCTGGGCTTGCATCATCGAGTGGTGGGGCATGACGTAGGAAAAGCCGCGGTCGCTCTTCAAATTTCTGCTCGAGACTGAGCAGTCAGCCTCGAAAGAAGGCATTGTGACCCTGGCCGGCGTTCACTTGACAGCAGGCCGTGTAGGGAGGGAGCGTGGCTTTGCCATCTTATCATCAAAACCGTGACGGGATTCAACAGGACTCATGGCTGCACCGTTGCGAAGAGCCCTTTGCCTGGCAGCTGTCGCTGCCGGCAACCGTGGCTGCACAGCAGACTCGGCAGAGCCTTCATCAGAGCGGGAAGATCATTGAACAGTCTGCAAGCACCTGGTGGAAGCCGACCTGCAATTGTTCCTTCTGCTCTTCAGATAGGCAACAATAGTAACAACCTCCCCGTGCAATTCGGGTTGCAGACAGGCTTGTGAACCGTAGTTCTAGTGCCATCATGTATTGCTGTGCGGAGCCCGGTTGCCCAGCAGACGGTGAGCAATCCCCGCTCATGACTATCGACCCAAACCGATAGGTGCTGCACCGGCGCATGTGGCTCCCCTTTGCTAGGCATCTTCAGTCTCTCAGCTGCGCGCAGCTTCGTGTCTGCCGGCGGTCGAAGTGCTGCCCAGCCGCGCGTGTCGGGAAGCCCAGACATGGGTGAACGGCCGGAGTCAAAACCGTGGAGGTGGCAGACGCGCTTTGGCTGTCTGTGCCTGCTTTGGCCACTGCCCACAGGCAGATGCAAGCAGTCAGTGTCAACGACAAGAGCGCTTTCTCTGCACTTTCAGTTTGCCTGGTTTAGAAGCTGGACCAGAGCCAGCGAAATCTGATGTGTAAGGGCTACTCCATGGGGTGTGCGGCGAAGCCATAATTGTGAGCTGTTCGGGATCCGCACCACTCACTTGAGGTGACAACTTCATTGACAAGGCCTTCACCGCCATGAGCCTTTGCTGCCATATCGCATGCATGCCGCAAGCTGACTTGGATGTCTCTTCGCACAACTTACCAATCGTCCGGATTTGCCAGGGGCGCTTCAAGGTGGAGTAATTCTCAAAGCATGAAGGTATCGTAAAAACAGATGCTCGAACCGATTCAGAATGAACGACACGCGGACAACGAGCGTAAGAAGTAAGAAGTGAAGACACAGGAAACACACGTGCTTCAATCACGGGACCCTCCGTTCATGGAGTCAAGGAAAAGAAGAAAGACAGACTGAGGACGGATGTTGTGATTGGCTTGATTCCGCTCTCTCAGCAAGAGAAGGACGCCTATCAGTTCTATCGCGTTTCACTTGCACTTGGCAGATCTTGGCAGCGTGGTGTGCATTGAACGAGAAGCTTTCGTGGCAGTCGAGCCGAGGTGATGGCATGGCAGCTCAGGCCGCATGCAGACGAAGTCAGAAGCTTTTCTTGTTGGAAGTGCCCCCTTCGAAGTGGCAGGTGTCGGGTGACTATTCCATGGCGCTCCGAAGTTATGCGGAGGTGGACCAAGTAGTCCCTGCGCAATCTTGCGTACATGGTCTCAGCGAGTACAGCTGCGGCAGGCGCTGAAGTTGGAGGAAGACCCGTCTCTCAGCATGCACTGGCAGTCAAGCATGATCAGCACTGTTCGAGGGCCTAAATTACTGGCATATGCTTGATTCGCAGTGCAACGATGCTCATGGTTCGAGCTTTAGCTGCATGGCTGCATTGTCCGGAAGAATCCAGGATCGACAGGAGCTACATTTTCTACAACCTGGGTATTATCTTCGGCTCCAACGGTGAATACGTGAAGGCCGAACTATGTGTTGCCCTGTTGCCTAGGGAGGCAAGCAGCTGCCGGCGAGGCAGTCAAGTACTACCACCTTTCTTTGGACCAGAACAAGGAGCTTTGCCAGGCCTGCGGGTTAGCGTGCCAGTGCTTGGAAGAGCGGTATTATTACCGTGATTATTCGCATTGTTGCTGAGCATTGTATTGCAAGTAATAGGATTAGTGTTACTAGTAACTAGTATACATGGAAGTAGCCTGGGAGGCATACAACAACATCGCGGCTCCTGGGCTGCGCTTGTCGGCCCACCGCTCCAAGCCTCGCGATTGTGCCTTCTGAACTTGCCCGACAGTCCGTCTCTGTTTTCGCTCCTTGTACACTTTTTTGGCCGCCTTTGATCTTTACTTGTGCCGAGTTGCCACTTAGGTGATCTACCACGATCAGGCGGTGCGAGCTGAGAAGAAGGGTGCTTTGGACAAGTCCACCGTCCTTTACGAGCCTGGGCACGATTGCAATGGGAAGGCAAAGAAACGCCGAAAGAAGCGCAGCAGCCTCCAAATTGCTGAGGACAAGGCGGCCCTGTACTGGAACCAGGCCCTCCGCACCTTGGCAGCGAGTGTTGCGGTCGAATTCAGCCGACTGCGTCGTTTCGTGGGTCGCTGAGGAATTGCCCCGACGAACTACTTGGAGGCCCAGAACTGGCTGCTCACCACCGGCCGCATGAACGCCGAAGCCAAGAGCAAGCTGGGAGGCGCGAGAAAAGCTCATCAGTTAGTGTCTTCAGTATGGTGCTAGATACGACCACAAATGCTCTGACACGCCCGAGGACCCATGAAGACGAGCCTGTATAGAGTCGTAGGAGCGACGGACGACACAGAACATGATGATCCACGTTTATATATATATATATATGCTCCGTGTTCGTCCACAGCATGCAGGTGTTTGGTGATCTTCTGGCTCAGGCTGCTTTGCTGCAAGCATTGTTTCTGCTTTTATCTGGTGTTCCGCGGCGACACTGCAAGTGTGCAAGGTCAGATTTTGCTGCTCGCCAGAGACCCTTGCGAAGTAGAAAGTCTATTTTCCGCATCGGGCAGAGATCCTGTAAATCTCCAGCCCTGATGCCAAGCAGGGGTCACGGAGCCGTCACAGGCAACAAGATTCGGAGAAGTAGGAGGATTATCAAAAGAGAATCTCCTGACTCTGCAGTAGCTTCGTGTGCCCCATTGTACACAGCCTGTTATGGCCATGTTGGTCTGAGACGAATCCTGGTGTGTGTCTACGAGCCGATGGCAGACCACCGGCTGTCAGAGAGCTGTGACCCTTTTGAAGGCGTCCTCTGGCCGACGGCCGTCGCTGATAGGGGCAGAAGGGCTCCTATAACAGTAACATGTGCAGCGGTACTTTCGGAAGGGCGAGCCCATTAGTTAGGGCGGTGTTCGTGGTTCACGCCATCTCGCTAGTTGCAGACCCGGCAGCAGCCTCGGCTGCACGACTTCTCACGGTCAACTGAAAATGTCTGGAAGGGTATGCCGGCTTTGAAGACTCATGAAGGCAGGACTTCTTGATACTTTTTGCAGAACAGAGGCAGAGAAGCCAAGGACAGAGCCGCCTGCTGTAGAAGTGGGCAAGTACATGCTCCTTCTTGGGCACTAAGGCCAAAGACGTGTCCAACGACGATGTCTTCGCCAAAATGCACCAGCCCGAGGACTCATTTCTTATTCTTATAAGCCCTGTTTCTGCTACAATGCGCGCAGCCGAGGGCAACTTCTGGTGAGGACGATCCCCGTGTGCGTGTCGTAACACTGAAGCCTCCTTGCGCTGTGTGGCGGAATAGTGCCAGCTCTCAGCACACTGACAGTGCGTGGCCGTGACTCTCAGAAGTATTCAAGCCAATACCGGTTCGCCACGCGACGATCGAAGCTTTCGATCGTGCAGCGGGGACAGCCACCGGCGGCGTGCTCAGGGCGGCCAAGCGGGGCGATGAGGCTTTCGTGCGCGCGCACGAAGCGGGTCGCGCCCGCTTCCCGCTTCGGCTTCAGAAGCGCGCCTTCTGGAGCCGGTGCGGAGCGGTCAGAGTCAGCTCTCACAGCTTGCTCGATGCATCTTGTGGGTCGGAAGGCTGTGCTCTTTACCTTGAGTGGCAGGAGTCCGCTGTGGACGAGTCCTCCTTCCTTAGTTTCTTTGGGGAGTGTGAGAAGGAGTCGAGCGTGGAGATGGTAGTGCTAGAGACTGAATCGAAGAGAGTCGGGGTGACGCACGGGGGACGGGCTGCAATCTTCAGTGCCGTGCAGGAGTCGACCAATGGCGAGGCTGCAGACTTCCCCACCAAAGAGGTGTGTCAGGGGTCGTCCGGCACCAGACAGTAGCACTCAGACAAAGCTCAGACCTCGACCGTCTAATCCAACCACGAGCCGCCCCCACGCTGCGTGTTTGATGACAAGCTTTAGGCAAAAGCCCGTCAACCCGTCGTCGTTTGAGTGACGTGATGACAGCACCGCAGCGTTAGTTAGCGCTCACGCCGTTTCAAGCGCGAGGACCTGCAGAGACTCTTCACATTTTGGGACGAAGCTGGCAATGGATCGCTGAATGAGGAGCATGCCAGCACTGTTAGCAGATGTTCACAGTAGAGCTTGCCCTGCCAGTTGCATGCATGAGGATGCCAAATGATGCCAAGATTCTGCTTTCCACGAGGGTTGCCAGGTTGCGACTGTTCTTTTGACTGTCAGCGGGCCTCCCGCAGGAACGGGTAGCTGAGATTCTGCCCTGCACTCGGAGTTCTGGGGAGCTTTCTTGTCTGCATCTGCACGCATGTTCCATTTTGACGTGGCTTCCGTTTCGCTCAGTGCATTGATATCATCGCAGTCGCTATATGGTATTCATTGGCCCCACACGATATTTCGTTCGGCCGGCACAACGCACGAGCATGTGGAGGAGCTCCAGAAGGAGCTGTCAGACTGAAATGGTATGCTGCGTCATACGGAACACTGTTGCGGCTCCGAGCTTGAGCTTGTCACTTACCATCATGCACAGCTGACTACTCTGTGAAAGACAGGGCAAGCTTCAGGACGTGATCTCACCCCCTGCGCGGCGCCATCCGACGTAACCGCCGACCCCATGACTGAGAATTTCTCCTTTACGAAACTGTTCTTAAGGACGTACGTGCGTAAAACAGGATCCTCACCCTGGGCCTTGCAACAAAACCACAGCTGCCCGGGATGTAGGTAAGACGAGGTGCAAGCGTCAGTGGAACCAAGGCGAAGATTCATGAAGGTCGTCGGCAAGACTGCAATCACCGACGGCGCGGGAAGCCTAGACCATGAGAGCTTGATACCCTCAGCAGAGGCTGTGTGCTCCTTCAATTTGCCTGTGAGATTTATTTCATTCCGCTGCCCCACCGGCTTGGCACCTCACGAGGTCAGCATCAAGGCCAACAGCCTCCGCAAATTGGAGGTTGGTGACGTGGTCGAAGTCCTCGGCCCTCCGACGAAGGTGCGGTAGCGCAGGTCTTGAACAGCATGCCGTCCCAACAGGTAGGAACTGAAGGAGTGTACGGAAAACTCCGGTCATCAGTTGTTCCAAATTCGGTGATTTCTCAGCGGCAGGAGCCCGAGGTGGACGTGATGAGAGTGCCGATAGCTTAGCTTGCGATTTCACAGGGATTAGGCATCGTTCCTGATTGCAATTGCCGTCTGCCTTTGGACCTTTGCTTCTTTCTGCCCAGGCAGGTCCGTCTCCTTGCAGATGGGACCGAAGGCGTGTTAAAGACATTTAAAGACCATTCTGCCCAGACTGCCTGAACATCTGCTTCGATGTAGGTTGGGCCACCATCTCGGGCAACCAAGGGACAGACTATCTTCAGGAGAGTTTTACGCCGAACAAAACGAACGCAGTCGATCTCATGCCGATGTGCCCGCCTGATCGGAGCCCAGGACGGTGGAGGCACCTTCAAGGTAGTCAAGGCCAGTAAGTGCCGAATGATGCTGGCATGTTCATGGATCTGGTTCTCGAGCGGGTTTCCTTAAGGGGTTAATGAGCGGAACGAGTCGTAGCCTTCAACTTCACACAGGAAACGCTTCTGACGGATGACTTCGAGATCGGTGCTGCCAAAGAGACGCCAAAGGAGCCTCGGTGCTTTCGGGCCTACCGGGTCCTACGCGCATTCTGCATGTCTCGTGCTTCTTCTGTAAGACTTCCGTCAATGTGTCATCTCGCAGACGCCGCTTAATATAATATAACTTAATAGAGTATAACACTGTACAATACATGATAACATAGCGTTTTGCAATATAGCATAATCCAATACAGTGTGGTGTATAATCTGGTCCAGCCTCCGCCTTTTGGGAGCCATGAAGATCTCGCGTCTCATCCGTGAGCAGTTCGAGGCCACATCCGAAAAGGCCGGGCTTTCGATTTCAAGCAGCCTGGAGTCGGAGAGGGCCCCCCATTTTTTGGCGCTTCGACTGCGAAGAGGGCCACGCCTTTGCCAGGGACCGACTGTTGCTCCTCGAGCTCGCGTGGGCGCGCAAGCGCCGAAAGCGCGAGAGTAAGGACATCATGACGGCCGTCAAAGAGTCATGACCATGGTTGGTGGTGGCTGCTGACCTACTGCTGAACCAGAGGACCGGTCAGGAGATTCGGTTGATCGGTGTATTCCGTTCTGAACATGCAGGCCCGAAATAGCTAGACTTTGGCCTTGGGATATGGTTGCGGATTCCAGATAGGTACGCCTGAAGTCGTACTGATTTCGACCTCTGCACTGACGAAGGACGCAGACTGTGTTCTGAGCATGTGCGACGAAATATTGAAACAGGGCGGGCGTTCAGACCTTGCCAACGTGGCAAGCAATGAAGCAAGGCTGCCCGATGCAGGTGGAGCGGCAGGCCTGCCAAATCTTGCAACGAAGCGTTGGCTGTTGAGACTGGCTTTGCTTGAATGTGGTGTCGGGGGATGCAGAGGGTAGCAGCGAACCGGCGACAATGTAGACACGATGAGAGGTAATGGCTTTGCGGGCAAGCTGCTGCAGCTGGTGTATGCAGATCTTCTGTTGTCCATGGAGCAGGTGGGAACGCTCCCTTCACGAAAATCTTCGTGCTTACCTTGAAGCGATGGCCGACATCGCAGGACTTCTCCCGTGCTGCCCGCGCTGCAGTTCACATGGAGTTGCATGTGGCGTGTGCAACCTGGCCGCCTCGAAACCTTGCTACTTCGAATAGCAACGAACTGGTGTGCATGCTATTTACACCACGGTGTGAATGCCGCTTGAGGAACCGGTGCCTGACCTTGTGGACTACTTGCACGAGGCTGGTAACCCTAAGCATCCCGAAGCCCAACTCCGCAGACCTCGCCTGGATTCATCCGGTGAGTGTCAAAAAGCATCCCTGCGCCCTACATATGTCCCCAGCCACGAACCGAACTCGCCTGCAGAGTCCGAGTTCTTCCGAGCTTTGCAGGTGATGGAGCCGGGCCGAGGCTTCTTGCTTGCAGGGTTTAAATTTAGAGTTTTTTCCCGGCACATGCATGGCCCAGCCTTGGTTTTAACCTGATGCTTGATCTTCTTACTGATGGTGCGAGGAAGGAACCTCAAAGATTGGCGGTGCATCATGAACAAGCGCATCGGCCTGTCCTACAAGGACACGCGGATTTGGCACAGGGGGCCGTGGACGTTTTTTTCCTTCTGCTGCTGCGAGGCAAAGAATCGAGACCTAGTTTGGCTCGACGACAAAGTCCTGCAGGTGGGGAAGTTGGAAGCTACCTTCAGTCTGCTGTTTTTGCGGACCTTCCTACTTGGCAGCACTGGGGGACCAGAAGATGAGAGCATGGATAGTGGTACGACGGGAGGTGTCCATGACATCCAATGTTTTGGGAGAAGAGCGACATTTGCCGATTCTGAGCCACGTGGCCTGCGCAAAGACTTCCAGCATCAAAGTACCCATCTCTGGCACACGGTTTCCAGATCAGGCCACGGCGAGCAGACTCGTGAAGGTCGCCAGGCTCGAAAGGGCTCTCACATCCATGGCGGCGGAACTCGTCAAATATGGGGTTCCGACGGCAGGCGCTTCACGTAGCGGCCATGACCCAGGTAGGCCTGAACACTCCATTAGTTTCTTGGCAGAGTTTTCGACGGTCGGGCCTTACAGGTCAGACTTGTGACTGATCCTTATGCTGGACAGGTGATAAAGCCGCGCCACGGATCGAATTCCAAGTTTGTGTCGATGTTTCCCAGTCCCATGGAGGCGGGTAGGGCGTGTAGAGAGGCACATTCACTGCTTGCGAAGCTGTGCTGTGCAAGATCTGCGGAGGATGGGACGGAAGCAGTCTTGGAGAGCGTCGACTTGGCATTGGATGGGGATGATCCTTCGTGGAAGAAAGAGTCCTGGAACCAAAACGCTGTCCCGAGGGGCGCATTGCTGCAGCCTCTCTACACCCTCATGGACTTCACGCCGGATACAAGGAAGAAGCTCATGAAGCCGCTGGAACTCAAAGCCGCTCGGAAAGCTCATGGGTGGGGGGATGTTGATCTGTGGGTTTGGTCGGAGAGATGGGAGTTGCGGGCTGAACGTCTGAGGTGCAGGTCCTGTTCGGTGTGGTGGTCGGTGGCTGTTTGAACTCCCATCCCATGGCATTGTGGGTTTCGAGCAGTGGAGCTGTGCAGCTGTGGGATCCGAAGTTGCCCGGCCTGCTCAAGAAAGGCCACGGCTTGTGGGAGCCGCTTCCGGCTGCGGCCTTGGAGGTCCTGCTTAGATCCTTATCTGAGAGCTGGGAAGCTATTCGAAGCGACTGCGAGCTCTTGGCGCAGCGAGTGGGTCTTGACGAGGTGCGAGTGGATTGGCTCCTGGGGGACAGAAAATGGGGCCCTCGTATCGGTGAGCTGACCTACATGGGCACCTTTGCCTTGGACCTTTGGCCCGTGTCCTGGCGCCTTGCGAGAGCCTTCGCCGCCGGCCATCTGAGTCGCCAACAGGGCCGAGGCCAAGGCCTCGTCTCGCCCTTCCCGACTTAGAGTGGCTAAGGGGGCAGAGGAACTGGCGGAAGAACTGGAGGAAGCTGTGTGTGCTGTCGCCTGTCCTACAGACTTCGGAATGGAGGGTGTTGGAGGTCATCGCCTTCCGCGTGGCCGGCAGTTCGGTGAAGGTGGCCAAGGCTGTCGGCCCGCAGTGGTGGGGAAGCGCACGAGTGACCGACGACGCCATGTGCACCCAACTCTCCGTGATGGCTCTCTGTCTGACGAGACACATTCGCTTGTAAGAAGAAGTCTCCTGCACACGGCCCAAAAAGAGCTTCTCTGCTTTGCCAGGATTATGGAAGAGAGCCTTCGAGTGCTATGGCTTTGATAGGAGGACCGTCGACTAAAGCTCGGGGAGATTGTGGAGGCTCGGTCTTGGATGAAGAAGCACGAGGAGCCCGGGGCCTGGTTTGCAGGCCTTCTTGGGACCCACATTTCAGTGTCGGCTATCTGAAGCAAGATGGGGACTGCAGGAACATGCAGGAACAGACGGGGTAGCTTGTGTTGTAGAGCCTTCTCTCATCAAGCATCCGAATTTGCTGTGTGTCGCATCAGCCGCGCTTGCGGCTATGCTTATGCATGCTTGTCCGATTGATGTGTGCTGCAGAGCAGGGAGAGCGCCACGTCCTTTCCCCATCGCGAATTCGTTGATGAGGTCCGGGCTGACTCGAATCCGATGTCGTGCAACCTCCGATGGCGCGGTTGGTTGGGCCACGGCGACGAGCTTGGCGTCAAGTAGGTTCCGATACTGGCCCTGCTAGTCTGCGACTCTCAGGTCGTGGGCAACCAAGGCACCGTCTTCTTGGAGGCAAAGTGAGGCAAGGCTCGAAGGCTCGAAGAAAGGCCTTCCTCGTAGCTCAGCTCCTGAAGCCGAAAAGGGCTCTTTCACAATGAGGCGTCACGTGGAGGCTCCTGTGAAGTCTAGCTGCATCGAGTCCGTAGGTATTCTGCACAGTCCTGTAGCACTGTAGCGCTAGCTCTAGCAACCCCCTCGGTGTTGCAATGCTGCGGTGGCCAGCCGTGCACGCACCTGGCGCTTGTGCGCTCATCTATGCAGTTTTGTAGCCGTCAAATTTCACCATGTCCAATGTAGCAGACCACTAGCTAGGCATGCTTATCACACAGCCGGAGCGTTCGGATACAAAAGGGTGTCTTCCAGTTCGCGGGACCGCTCGTGAGTAATGTGGCTTTGTTGGAACCCCACCTGTGGGCAAGGTAGTGTTGGCACCCTGCATGGTTCGCATACAGTATTGCCAGGTACGTCTGTCCCTCGTCTCTGCCGTAGTGAGCATCTCGCGCACGGGTGCCCAGATAGTCAGATAGTCATCGCGCTTCCTCTCTCCCTCTGTCTTTCTCTGTCTCTGTGTCTCTCCTTGTCAAGATGACATCTTGTGTGGCAATGGATGGTGTCTGCGCCGCAAGGTAGGTATCCTGGCAGTGTCCCAGCCCTGGGATAGACGTTGTGCTGAGCGGTGCGGCCAAAACTGCGTGTATGCCTAGCGCAGGTTGAGATGGCGGCCAAAGCGCTAGCAGATCTCATGGCCGACGAGGCGCGATGGATATCATGAGGGTATCTCTTGTCGTAGCTTGCCGTCTTTCCGTCATATGTTTCCTCGGGCTTTCAGGTTCAAAATAGGTAGACATCGTAGAAGCTCGTAGACGTTTGCCTGCCCCAAGGACCCCTGCGTTCGCAGAAGGGCCACAGCAGGCACGATTGGAGTTTGGCTGCGTGTCATGTATGTGCGTTACAGGGCAGGCCTGTGGAATGTCGCAGCCGGGCCAGAGAGCAACAGCCTTGGTAATGCCGATAATGGCGAGGAGAAGCCACGGATTCATTGAATTCATAGCCTTATCCCTAGCTGAAGATTTCTTGGTGCATATCAGCACCGCGACTCAAAGATCCGAATAGATACAGTAGGCAGCAGCAAGCTCACAGTGGCCATGGATGCGGCGGACGAGCTTTGGGCCCAAGGTGTTGCACAATACTTGCTCGAGGCCGCAAGGGATGAAATGTCAGTGGGCGCTCGATGCCCGAAACCCGCGAGGTGAAAGCCAATCCACAGACAGTGGCCGGGCTTTGGGCCTTTGAGACATCCGTGTGCCCTGGCTTAATCAAGAGAGACCTCGCTTTATGTCACATTGTGCTAAAGACGAGGCAGGCCGATCCCAGTGACCCAAAGCGGCTTTTCTTCCTGGCGACGCTGCTTTATCATGCAGGGCGGCATGCGGAAGCTGAGCAGTTCTACCGACAGGCCAGCTGCAGTCGCTCAGAGCCATGTTCGATTGCTCTAGTGGACCGCGGCTGCTTTCCTCTGGTTGCTGAGGTGATTGAGGCTGAACCTGCGAGCGGCCACGGCTACTTGGAGCTAGTCCTTTTCCTGGAGTCTGCCGGCAGGCATCGCGGGATGTTCAAAGTCCGAAGCCGACAACGAAAGCCAGAAAAGTGCAACTTAAACTAGATTCCTCTACATCGGTAAGGCGGTAAGATATGGTAAGATGCTGTAGCTACAGGTTCTCCTTTTCGGCTCCTGCCTGGCGTAAATATGTGATTGCTGAACAGACCGTATGGAGCAAGCCACGGCACCGCAGTCACGACTACAGCTCTGCTCATGCTCACGACAGGCGCGAGGAGGCCCGGCGAGTGGCATGCCAGGCTGTAAAGGCTGGAGCCATCTGGGCAGATGAGTGGCAGCGACCGCCAATCTTTGTACGAGGAGGGAGGGGCAGCACAATTACAAAAAAGAAGCTTCAAAACATAACTAATTAGAATTGCTATATTCCTTAGTGTTCCTTATACTGTAATCCAGCGACGATTCCCCCCTGAAAAATCCCGTTCTAATTCCAATCATGACGGCCCGACGCCAGGCTTGACCTCACAACCCTGGTGGACGCGGGAGGACTTTCCGTGGGCAGCTGACCTGGAAGGTGCCTACCCTTCCATAAAGGCCCGACGCCATAGAGTTGTTCTTGCAAAGTGAGACATGAATGAGTACTGTGTTTTTCGCAGTTTTATACAATCAATCAATCAATCAATATATATATATATATACACACACACACACACACACATATATATATATATATATAAGTATAATATGTTATAAGATAAAAATATGGTAAATTTGTTCTTTTAGGGTTTTTTTCAGGGGGTCTATGTACTTTTTGGGCTTGGAAGGCGGAGATGCTGGAGCTCTTCGGCGAGAGAGGCGACCATGGTGGGAAGATGCCACAGAGCTGGGTACGAGTTGGGGATGATGCCTGGCCGTGGAGGGGAGGGAAGAGGGTTTAGGGTTTCGGGGAAGAGGCTTGTATCCAGGGAGCTCTAAATCCGGACCTTGAGACCCCGAGAGGAAAGTACGGATAGGAACAAAGACGACCGAAACTCAGAGACCCAACTCTCAGGAGAGGGCCTCGCAAGATGGCGGTCCGGCTGCATCTTCGATTCGATTCTCTCCAGCTCCGATCTCGCAGCTTTGCAAGTGCGGATTGCAGAAGCTTAGGAGACATTGTGGCTCCGGGCGGCGAGTGGAGGGAGTTCCTTCTGTACTCCGCGCAGGACCAGAGCAAATCCACCGCGAACCCCGAGGCAGTGTGCAAAAGAGTAATTAGTCTAATTAGTCCTTTTCCTTCTCCATCCCCGATGAGGGCCTTGAGCTGGTGGCAGTTCTGGCCAGGTGCTGAAGCTCTTTCCGAAGACCTGCGAACTCTTGGAGTCCCTTCTGCCAGGGGCGGTGGCCATGGCGAAGATCGGGGCTCCCTGGGCCAAAAGCATAATCGAGGGTGTCATTCGCACAGCGGTTGGAGTTCGGTTTGCAAACGAGTGCCTTGGCCTAAGATACGAAATCTTTATGCAGGGAAGCTGGGGTCTTGCGGCGACGTTTGGCCTCAAGCATAGGCAGGGTTTCTGAGACGGTTGGAGTTTGTGTCTGGGCTTCGGACACATAGCAGGGTTTGGGGAGTCTGAGGTCGGTGAGATCATCTTGTCTGCCATCTCTCCGGGTACAAAGCTGACGCCGCATTGCCGCTTCCGCAAAAGTACGTTGAGTTTTCCTGGTTGGAAGGATCTGTATTCTGCTGAATAACTAAATAAGTGTGAAAATATACAGATATATATATATATAT